TATACAGTATATATATATATATATATATATATATATATATATATATATATATATATATATATATATATATATATACTGTATATATATATATATATATATATATACTGTATATATATACAGTATATATCTATACTGTATATATATCTACTGTATATATATATATATATACTGTATATATACAGTATATATATATATATATATATATATATATATATATATATATACTGTATATATACAGTATATACAGTATACAGTATATATATATATATATATATATATATATATATATATATATATATATATATATATACTGTATATATATACTGTATATATATACAGTATATATATATATATATATATATATATATATATATATATATATATATATATATATACAGTATATATATATATATATATATATATATATATACATATATATATATATATATATATATATATATATATATATATATATATATATATATATATACACATATTATTTATTCTCAGCAAATAATCAAAATGTTCCTAATCCTAATTCCTAATTCCAATATGATGAATCTGGACCCTTGAATGAGGAATACTCCACATTACAGGAATACTGCTGCAGACGTCCGATCATTCATTAATATGAGGTATGCTGTAGGCATTGCTACAGGACCATAGCCTGTAGTTTAGTTCAATAAACTCTGACATTAACTGGAGAAAGTCAAAACCCTGGAAGAAGAAAGAGAAAAAGCTAATCTTTGTTTACATAAAAACATCAGAACCCAGCTAAACCCCCACCTTCAGAGTCAGGATTTAATCCAGCCCCCACCCATCACTGGAAAAGAGAATGGACTCTGCAGGGAGAGCTATTACTCTGTTGAGTCAAACGTGATCTTTGACCTCTTGGTCTGCTGGCCACACACACACACACACACACACACACACACACACACACACACACACACACACACACACACACACACACACACACACACACACACACACACAGCAGTGCAATGACATCATGCGGATAAGTAATCTCGCCTAATGTTTTCTGGCTCTTTTGGGCTATCTCATTATTTTTATCATGTAAACGAGCGGCGCAGATCAAAGTAAGGAAATGAAACATGAGCGCGGCGAGCGTGCAGGACAAACTGCCTCTGAGCTGCTTTACTAGGACTTACTAATAACCCCCAGGACCAAATGTGATGTCTTAGCCTGACATCATGGCTGCATGCTCACAGAACTGTGCAGAGACGGTTTCTGACAGAAGTTGTTATTGCGAGTCTCAGATGGTGCTACGAAACTCTCCCCGTTGACTATTTATACTCAAACAACCATTTATTCTAATAGCTCTGAAAACAGGTTCCCATCCTCCGAGTTCTTCGTGTCATTGCCGTGTAAAGCAGACAGCAGGATTTCACCGCAGCGAGAGCAGTATATGTCAGCGTGTCCTTACTCCTCTAGTCGCCTCGCATGTCGGACTAACACGCTGTGGCTGTTGTTTAGGAGAGCTTTTGTCTTCTAAATATGCGGTTTACACGTTGTGTCCAACCTTGGAGCCCAGTGACATACAGGCTTTAAAAACCAGGAATGCTTTTGGTTTCTGAAGAACGGCTCGTTTTGCTGGTAATTCTTCTTCAGCGTCACTGCAGCAAACGCAATCAGAGGCGTAGGGTTCTAGGTGGTCGATAGCAGTCTGAAGAGGTCCCCTGGTACTTTATCTCTCATACTTCCTGTGCTGTATGAAGAGAGAGCAAACATCTCCTCTACCATCCGCTTCACTCAGGCAGAGGCCCCACAGGGACCTTCTGTTTGGACTGTACAATACTGCCTCAGACGGTAAGGTCATCCAGAGTGGAGGCGATCAGTCGGATGGGAGAGAACCGCTCTCTAAAAATAACACAGCTTAGGGTTGTAAACGTTCGTCTGAATGAACCAGAAGACTTCTGGATCAACATTTACTGGAAATTGGTGAAAACCAACATATTAAGAAGAATGCGTGATACCAGCAAGGGCGCCTCCAAGGGGTGGCCAGTGGTGGCCATTGCTGCCCCCCCGGGAAAAGGCAGTGTTAACCAATCATATTGATGTTCAGTCAAACCATATGTTGTTGATCTTGTTTATTTAAGACATAATTGTAAAACAAAATAAAAATATTACAATTAATGAGTAAAGAAATAATCAGAATAAAATAATCATACATATGTTTCTGCTGCTCGCCATTTTAAAAAGGTTATCTCCATACGTTTTATTTTTGTGTGTGAACACAGCAACAGGTGAATTAAACAAAAAAATTAAAGTAAAATAACATTTTAAATAACTGACATGTGTTTTTCTAAAATGTTTGTGTTTGTATAATTTAAGCTCAATGTTTTCATACGTACTGTTATTTTAATAAAAATGAATAAAGGCGCAATGCAACACAACGCCACAGGCTAAATTCAACCAGAGTTGCCACAAGGACCAATTTGGTGCCACCCCAAAAATTTCTGTGGCCCCATCTGGCCACCCCCATCAAAATTTTCTGTAGGCGCCCCTGGATACCAGGTGTCAGCACGGGGGTGAGGGTTGGTGATCTGGGCTCCTGGCAGTGACTGAGTTCACCGTGAACTCCTCTGTGGACCAAAGTCAAACACAAGTCCGTCTGTCTGACAGGTTTGGATCATCAAACAGGACGACAATCCTTAGCAGAGAGGGTGGAAAGAGCCGGTATGCTGTGACTGTGTCATGGTCTGCGTTCTGCGTCTCCCTCATGTGTCTCCTTGTGTTCTCCATAAGGATGGGTACCTTTGACATTTGAATCGATCTGATACTAATTCCTGGTACCTAGGAATCGATACCAGCACTTAACGGTACCAATTTTCGATACTTTCGAGTGTTTATTATTTTAATTCTCTTTTATAATTAAATATATATATTTTCTCAATATATAACCAAATTTGATAAATATCACGATAAATAACATACAACTGTTTGTATTTTAACATTGTCCTTGTAGTTTTATAAGCTGATAATTAAACTGAAGCAAACATCTTCACTGTGAACTAAATTTACTGTGTGTCTTCATTCCTTTCGCCATCTTTTTCATTTGATTTTTCCTACTGGGAAGTTAGAATTTCTGAGGAGAAAGCGAACGCACCATTAGCTGATAACAATGGTAGCAATGGAAGCTAACATACCAAGCTAACGTTATCTTAAACAGTTTATTTAGCTGCTGGAGCAGATTAAAACGATGATGCCTCACACTTAGATCGTTGTCGCTGGTTTCATCTTCACCCAATCACCCGTCGCATTTAGTAAAGTGAAGCCAAACTTTAGAGCGCGTTCATGTTCTTCTAGTCGGAAATTTGGAGTTCCGAGGAGAAAGCGAACGCACCATTAGCGAAACGGAAGCTAACATATCAAGCTAATTATATTTACCTACCGGAGCTGATTAAGATGAGGATGTCTCACTTAGATCGTTGTCGCTGGTTTCATCATCACCCAGTTACCCATCACATTTAGTGAAGTGGACCCAAGCGTTAGCGTGCGTTCTTTCTACCATGCTGCTCTGTTTACAACTCGCTCGCAGCGACCACGACAAAACGCTCTTGCGCATGCGCAGCTGTCTAGGCAAGTTCTTGTTATGAAGGACGGGTACCGAAACGAGGCACCGTTTCAAATGACGTGAATCGGTGCTCGGTCGGTACTATGGAATTCGGTCGGTACCTTAAAAAGTACTGAATTCGGTACCCAACACTAGTTCTCCATCCCTCTCTAGGTTCCCCTCATGTGTCTCCTTGTGCCCACTCCAGGTTTTCCTCTGAGGTGCTCTTTGGTTTCTGTGGCCCTTTAGGTCTCCAGTCCACTCCAGGTTTCCCCCGTAGTGTTTTCAGATGCAGTAATCCCATCCCTGTTTTTCTTCTGGAGTCTTGTTTCCAGGTTTTAAGAGTTCACTCATCTTCAGTTCTCTGTAGATTTATTTTACCTAGTCAGTTTCCCCCACTCAGTTAATTAGTCTCACCTGATCCCTTCTGATTACTCCCCACACACCTGTCACCCGTCTCCCTGATTGTTTCCCTTTGTGTATAAAACCCTGTCTGCGTCCCAACGTGTTGTCGGTCCGTTGTTTGTGTCAGCGTTGTCTCTAGGGCTCCATCAACTCTTTAAGTGAGCTCTTTGGTCTCTAGGTCTCTTGTTTTTTTCATACTAGGAATTTTGGCTTTTCCGTTTTGGACAGTCGCTCCTAATAAAGGATTTTAGGTTCATTCCAACTCCTGCCTCGTGTCTCCCTGGTTCTGCATCTTGGGTCCTAACCTCCACCCCCACTGACAGCGTGCCAGACTATCCAGACATCTCCCTAAACCTGTAGAGGGACCGTAAGGACAGCCGCCCAGTCTACATGTCCACAAACTCAAGAGAAGACTCTGGATTCCTACACAATGTTGGAGACTGAAGCTATTTGTGCTAAAGGTAGTTCCATAAAGTTCTGTTTGGTACTTCACCACCATGCCCCTACATAAATATCAAACGTGGTAAACATGTTAACATGTTTTTGCGTCGATAGTTGATCGTTTAAAGGTGTTTTAGGATGTCTGAAGGGAGAATTTGACCTCAGTTCCAAGGCAGAAACTTAAACTCATTACCATCACAAGCCCAGGGTTCTTCATGCAGAGCCAGACTGCTGCAGATGTCTGTCTTTTAAGTGAAATTAACTATTTAATCTTGGATAGTAAATGTGTTTGCCCCTAACTCCCCTCTATGTACAATTTATGCGCCTCGCACTCGTTCCTCTAACCAATACAAAGAAGTTAGAAGGAATAATCATTAGTCTGTGGCTCTGAGCTCTCCGCCGAGGGCTGGGGAGACCCGAGACTGGACGCTGCAGCTGCAGGACAGCAGGTGGCACCGCTGCGCCGTTCAGTGGATCCGCTTTGGCACGGAGACGCGTCCACGTTGTTCACACTGTCTGTCTCCGCTTCGCTCTCTCTCTTCGTCCCACCCTCACTCTCTCCCTCTCCCTCTTACAGTGTACTCCTATCTGTCTCCCACAAGCATCAGCAGCCTTTCCATCAGTCTCCGTGAAACCGGCGCTACTACGGCGCCAAGCATGTCCCCTCTGCGCCCTGGAGGAGCGGCGTCCTCCGCCGTGAAGCTCTGCGTCTTTCTGCTGTCCGCCTCCACCTGGATACTGGGACCCGCGGGCTGTGACAGCCGGGTTTTGGGCCGGCGTGGCTTGGAGGATCCAGACACGCGCGGTGGAGAGAGAGGTTTGGGGGAGGAAGCGTCCTCCCGCTTCAGGAGAGCCACGTCCTGGGATAAGCAGATGTCCCTCCTCAGCAGCTCGTTCGTGCTTAAAGGGGATGCGACCCACAACCAGGCGATGGTCCACTGGACAGGAGAGAACAGCAGCGTGAGTACCCCCACCCTCCTCTGCTCTGGTCCTGATACACCCCCCCCCCCCCCCCCCCCATTGTCACCAAGTTATTGTTGGGTCTGACTGTTGTGACGGACTCCTCGGGGAGGAGGCGCGGCGCTTTACGCATCCAGGTGGTCCACCTGCACGTGCAGGGTCATAGGACCAAACGCACAACACACACGAGACCTCCAGAGTCACGAGCATCTTCTGTTGTCCTTTAACTGACACGCTGATTCAAACACGCGCAGCGCAGAAAAAACAGACTTTTTTTATTAGACAAACAAATATTTCACTAATTCTGCTCTGATGCGAAGATCCACTGGTGCTTCATGGTAACCGGTCTGGAGACGCACTGAAGCGCATCACACACACACACACGCACACACGCACGCACGCACACACACGCGCACACACACTCACACAGACACACGCACACTACATACACACACATGCACACACACACTCACGCACGCGCACAGAGACACACACACACGCACTTACACACACACTCACACACACACACACACACACACACGCACGCACACTCACACACACGCACACACAGACACACGCACACTTACACAGACGCACACAGACACGCACTTACACACACACACACACGCACAGACACACGCACAGAGACAGACGCACACGCACACGCACACACACGATTCCATTAGAAAGTTACTGTAGCCTTTTAAAAAGGACAAAATGACTCCATTTTTATTTGTCGCTCATCAAAAAGCTGAAATAATAAATTCAAACAGATGTTCTCTCATCTGGATTGCACAAACATGCTTGATCAGAATGTCAAAGTTCAAAATCATTTCAGTGACTCTGTTCTCTGGATGCTAAACGGTAGCAATGTTTGTGTGTGTGTGTGTGTGTGTGTGTGGGGGGGTGGGGGGGATGGTGGTGTTTGGTGGGGATGTCCCCCCCAGTCAGTGTTTTTGTCTAGCTGTGTCACACAGTGCTGTTTCTGACCCAACAGAATGGGAACGATGCACCGACACAGTCAGACGTCTTGGTGCAGATTACAAGTTAAAATGAAGCACGGTTACTGGTTAGAAACCAGTAAGGAGCTGGGAAACTGCAGCAGCTTTGAAAAGTGGTGGTGCAGAAGGTGAGAAAGAGGTGTGAGAGTAAATGAGTGTTTGGAGGAAACTGTAAATGACAGCTCTGCTCTACTGGTGCGCTAAACCTACCTACACTCTAAAAACTACTGGGTTAGACGCTAACTCATGCTGTTGGGTCAAAGGTTAGGTCGTTAACTAATATGAACCTTTGATGAAACATTTGGAACATCCTATTTCAAAATGCTCTCATCCTGCTAGACCCTTATTTCTAAGCAACAAAGACCCAAAGTGATGATGTCATCATGGTTTCTCCACAGCAAATGGCCAGTATGTGTTTATTCAGGACAGTTGCCTCAAAACGAACAGTTTTTGCAAAAACCAAGTTCTGCTCACGGAGAACCGTGATTATAGGTCATTATGGACAGTTTTAGGGCCAGATTAAAAGGATTTTAAAGTAAAATTCTGCTTTAAGTTTATTTTTATGGCACATAGTCAAAACCAGAGTCCTCTCAGGTTACAGTTCAGCTCATTAAGCTAGTCAGTAAAAGTTTCAGGCTGCATCGAGTCACTGACTAGAGAGTCTTTATAGCAATCCTCATACTAGGCAAGCACGCAGCGACAGTGGAGAGGAAAATCCCATCAGAACCCGCTCGATATGAGCGCACACACACACACACACACACACACACACACACACACACACCTGATGAACTAGTTGTAGTGAAGTAGTTTTTGCAAGTCATGCTGACCCAGACCAGGTAGTTCACATGCAAACACACGTTCAGGTGAATAAACGCTCAGGCGTGGGGTTGAAAGCCTTCCCGTGCTTCAGGTTGTAAATCTGGCCTGTTTAGTTTTGTATTTTTTATTACTCAACAGAATCCACCGCCTCAGTGAAATTTGACCCATTTTGTGTTTTAACCCTCCCACGGTGCTATCGGGTGACCCTCTGGTGACTGTTGAGCAGGGTAGATGGTTCATCCCTTGAGGTCCACATGGCAGGGGTGAGGAGTGGGCACCCCCTCTCCCCTGTGGACCTCAGGAGATAAACCATCAGCCCTGCTCAAGGGTCACCTTTCCTGGAGGGTGACCCGTCAGGACAGTGAGAGGGTTAAATGATAAAAGGGTCTGGGTTGTTTGGAGTTAACGTGGATTTTGGATCTTTAACCAAAGCTTTAGACACAGATGAAACCACTGAGATGTTGTTTAAAACACATTTTAATGCAGATCTAGACTGAAAATGGAAGCTAAATTACTAATATCAACTCAAATGTTAGTGGAATAATCACATACCTCATGGGTTATTCCTACAGCCTGATTTTTGGACATCGGTCAAATTGCACCAATTTTGGGAAGAAAATCCTGAGCCAACATGTAGGATTTAACCAGCAACCCAAGCCTGCCGTGGCACATCCGATGACTGCAGAAGTAGTAGACAAACCTTCTACGTCATCCCTCACACGTCATGACCGAGCTGAGCTTCTCATCCCATCTCTAAGGGAGAAAACTCATTAAATGAACATTTGTTTAGCTTCAGCTGTTTGTTATAAACGTTGTTGTTTCCAGACACACAGCCCAGCGTGAGTATTAACGACGTGGACGACGTGCCTTTGGCCTTTAGGACTGGGCGTTCAGTAATAAAGGGCTGACATTCTCCCACCGGACTGTGTTGAACTTCTCCGTTTCATTTTTATTCCCTTTTTTTAATCAAGATGTTGATTGGTGAGGATCCTTGTGCTGAAGTGCTGCTCGCCGCCACAACTCTGAGCTTGGCTCACCCTCATTTAACTCGGTGTGGGTTTGTACGCCGAAAGGTCGTGAGACGGAGTTCACCCCCGCCTAATAAACACAGAAAAACGGGCCGTTCAATTTCCCCCACGGCTGACATTTATGAGGGGTGTGCAGATTGATGGAAGGTGAAAATGAATCTCCGCCTCCCTTCATTATGTCACTTCTGGATCTTTGAGGTTCCAGACGTAAATCTCCGATGAAAGGGTCAACAGCTCACATCTGTCCTGATAACGTTGACGTACGAGAGAACTTCCTCCTCCAATAGACTCCAAAGTGGTCCGACAAGACGGTGAGAAGTCAATCTTTTTTCTTGAGAAAAGGTTCTGTTGTTGGGAATAAATCCACTTTCGCTCTCCCGCGTCCCCGCGGCGGCGACATTCACTTTACTCTGGCCTGCCGTGATTGGTCCGTTGAAGGATGATCAAACTTTTCCTCAGGCACCCTTTAGAGGTTTATTTGAAGAGTGGAGAGCGTGTGCCTGTGTGTGTGTGTGTGTGTGTGTGTGTGTGTGTGTGTGTGTGTGTGTGTGTGTGTGTGTGTGTGTGTGTGTGTGTGTGTGTGTGTGTGTGTGTGTGTGTGTGTAGGTGTGTGTGTGTGTAGGTGTGTAGGTGTGTGTGTGTGTAGGTGTGTAGGTGTGTGTGTGTGTAGGTGTGTAGGTGTGTGTGTGTGCGTGCGTGTGTGTGTGTGCGTGCGTGTGTGTGTGTGCAGGTGTGTGTGTGTAGGTGTGTGTGTGTGTAGGTGTGTGTAGCTGTGTGTGTGTGTGTGTGTGTGTGTGTGTAGGTGTGTGTGTGTGTAGGTGTGTAGGTGTGTGTGTGTGTAGGTGTGTAGGTGTGTGTGTGTGTAGGTGTGTGCGTGCGTGTGTGTGTGTGCGTGCGTGTGTGTGTGTGCAGGTGTGTGTGTGTAGGTGTGTGTGTGTGTAGGTGTGTGTAGCTGTGACCAGTTTGGAGTAAAGTCCTCATAAAAGGAGGTTGTTTCCTAGACGTAAACTTTATTTGGACTTATGAAACGTTTCATCTCCAGACAGTCGAAGAACAAAAGCAAAGTAAAACTTTTATCTTAGGTTTTTAATTCTCATTTAAAGCAATAAGAGTTAAAATGTAATGTAAATTAACAAAATTACTTAAATAATAAACTAAAGTAATACTTTTGATATTATATAAGGACACAATAATGATGTTCACCTTCTTTTTAAGTATCTTTGGAATTTTTTATCTGAACAGAGGTAAAGACTAAAATAGACGTTAGCACGGCGTTCCCCAGCCAGTCCGGCGGTCTGACATCATAACTGTATTTTATATATTTATTGAACCAATGCTTGTGAGTTTGAGCTTCCCATAGTGGATTATTTGTTAATGAGTCTCTATTCAGTGAGAGATGTCATTAGTTATCTATAATGAAGATATTTTATAATTCTGGGGATTCTTGTTACAGTAGCATCCATGTGTGCATTTTCTACTCATTTTTATCAGGCTGGTATATTTGGGGTCACATAAACATGTTTATTCGATATGAATCATTAACGAACAAAGTTCCAGTCGTTTTCTGCCAGGACGTTTTGCTAGCGCTCTCCATCAGGATTCCTGTGGAATACTACATCGACATTTCTGTCGATCTTGTCGATTTTAAAACAGAAAATAGAACAAAATAAAAGAAAAAAGAATAAAAACACCTGTGAAAAACCAACAACCAGCAACAGAAATCCTTTCAGTTTTCAACTGAAGCTTTGGATGGTGTCTGCTTGTTGTCATTTCTTTATGAGCTCAGTCTTTGATTCATCCTGCTCCCAGTGGGGGGTTCATGCGAGGTTCGTGCGTAACCTTTGGCTCCAGACTGCCGTGCATACGGAAGATTTGATGACATCACTGGTGAGGCTGTTTGAGTGAGGAGAGGTTTCTCTTTGTTTCTTTGTCTCTTCCTCCATCTATTTCCATCCCTTCTGTGGTGACACACACTGTCACCGTGTGTGTGTGTGCGTGTGTGCGTGTGTGCGTGTGTGTGTGTGTGTGTGTGTGTGTGTGTGTGTGTGTGTGTGTGTGTGTGTGTGTGTGTGTGTGTGTGTGTGTGTGTGTGTGTGTGTGTGTGTGTGTGTGTGTGTGTGTGTGTGTGTGTGTGTGTGTGTGTGTGTGT